ATAATAATAATAATAATAATAATTTATTAGTTATACCCCGCCCATCTGGCGGGGCTTCCCCGGCCACTCTGGGCGGCTTCCACAAGAATATTAAAATACTATAATACATCAAACATTAAAAGCTTCCCGAAACAGGGCTGCCTTCAGATGTCTTCTAAAAGCCTGGTAGTTGTTGTTCTCTTTGACATCTGGTGGGAGGGTGTTCCCACAGGGAAGGCGCCACTACCGAGAAGGCCCTCTGCCTGGTTCCCTGTAACTTGGCTTCTCGCAGTGAGGAACCGCCAGAAGGCCCTCAGTGCTGGACCTCAGTGTCCGGGTAGAGCGATGGGGGTGGAGGCGGCTCCGTCAGATATACTGGACCAAGGCCGTTTAGGGCTTTAAAGGTCAGCACCAACACTTTGAAGTGTGCTCGGAAACGTACTGGGAGCCAATGTAGGTCTTTCAAGACCGGTGTTATGTGGTCTCTGCGGCCGCTCCCAGTCACCAGTCTAGCTGCCGCGTTCTGGATTAGTTGTAGTTTCCGGGTCACCTTCAAAGGTAGCCCCACGTAGAAGCACATTGCAGTAATCCAAGCGGGAGATAACCAGAGCATGCACCACTCTGGCGAGGCAGTCCGCAGGCAGATAGGGTCTCAGCCTGCGTACCAGATGGAGCTGGTAAACAGCTGCCCTGGACACAGATTTGACCTGTGCCTCCATGGACAGCTGTGAGTCCAAAATGACTCCCAGGCTGCGCACCTGGTCCTTCAGGGGCACAGTTACCCCATTCAGGACCAGGGAATCCTCCACACCTGCCCGCCTCCTGTCCCCCAAAAACAGTACTTCTGTCTTGTCAGGATTCAACCTCAATCTGTTAGCCGCCATCCAACCTCCAACCGCCTCCAGGCACTCACACAGGACCTTCACTGCCTTCACTGGTTCTGATTTGAAAGAGAGGTAGAGCTGGGTATCATCTGCATACTGATGAACACCCAGCCCAAATCCCCTGATGATCTCTCCCAGCGGCTTCATGTAGATGTTGAAAAGCATGGGGAGAGGACAGAACCCTGAGGCACCCCACAAGTGAGGGCCCAGGGGTCTGAACACTCATCCCCCACCACCACTTTCTGAACACGGCCCAGGAGGAAGGAGCGGAACCACTGTATAACAGTGCCCCCAGCTCCCAGCCCCTCAAGGCGGTCCAGAAGGATGTTATGGTCGATGGTATCAAACGCCGCTGAGAGATCCAGCAGAACTAGGAAACAGCTCTCACCTTTGTCCCTAGCCCGCCGGAGATCATCAACCAGTGCGACCAAGGCAGTTTCAGTCCCATGATGAGGCCTGAATCCCGACTGGAAGGGATCCAAATGGTCCGCTTCTTCCAGGCGTGCCTGGAGTTGTTCAGCAACCACTCGCTCAATCACCTTGCCCAAGAATGGAAGATTTGAGACTGGGCGATAGTTGGCTATCGTGGCCGCATCTAAAGATGGTTTTTAAGAGCGGTTTAATAACCGCCTCTTTCAGCAGGTCTGGGAAGGCTCCCTCACAGAGGAAGCATTCACCCCTGAAGCCCATCGCCCAGTCCCAAGCTAACCCAAACCTGATTTGCCCTGCCCTGCATCCACATCAGATCATGATCATGATCCAGAAAATAGAGTTCCCCAGTCTGGAGCTGGTCAGAATAAGAAACCAACACAGAGGAAACTGATGAGACACAAATTTATTCAAGATCAAGATCAGAGGTCAGAGTGAATGATATCCCAGGACTACTCAAGCTCTAAGATATGGACATACACACTATTTTCTTCCCCTTATTAGGCTTTCCTTGTTGCTCAGGTCAGACCTCAGCACAATGATGTAGCATTTAGGGAAAAAGATGCAACCCAGTAGCCCAGCACTGGAGGACAAGATGGAGAAGACCTCCACGGCTACCATGTATTTCCCTTTGGTGCTCAGGTAGGTTGGAACAAAGGTCAGCCAAACACTGCAGAAAACCAACATGCTAAACGTGATGAATTTGGCCTCGTTGAAACTGTCCGGTAACTTTCTGGCCAGGAAAGCCACAAGGAAACTCACAACGGCCAGAAAACCCATATAGCCCAAAGCACAATAAAACATGGCAGCTGAACCCTCATTGCACTCAAGGATGATCTCACTCTTCAGTGACTGCATGTCTGTATCTGGGAATGGAGGGGAAGCACTTAGCCAAAGGGTGCAAATGCCAGCTTGAAGGAAAGAGCAGGAAAAGACCACTGAATTGGCCAGCCCTTTCCCCACCCATCTCCTCATTCTGGATCCTGGCTTGGTTGCCATGAATGCTAGAACCACGGTGATGGTTTTGGCCAGAATACTGGAAAGGGCCACCGAGAAGACGATGCTGAAAGTCATTTGTCGGAAGAGGCAGGTCCCTTTTCCAGGCTGACCAATGAAAAGCAAGGAGCAGAGGAAGCAGAGAAGGAGGGAGATGAGGAGGAGGTAGGTGAGGCTGCGGTTGTTGGCTTTGACGATGGGAGTGTCCTTGTGCTTCTGCAAAAGTCGCCAACACGAAGGTGGTGATCAGGGAGAAGCCAGAGCGGAGACAGCTAAGCTGAGCCCTAACTTTTCTTGGTAGGAGGAGGTAGCTCAGCCCCCTTGGAATACACCCTGTTTGGTCCTGGTTTGGGTAGGTTTTCTTCTGCACACTTGACACGAGGCATCCATATTTGGAGGGTGGAGGGGGAGAAGAAGGAACAATTAAAAAATGTCAAGATAATGACCTACATCTACCTGAAAGAATCGGTTATGGCAGGCAGTGAAAGTGGTCTGGTTTGCCAGAGCTTGAATCTGGATTCTAAATAACCTTTATTATATGTAAATTTACATATAACTTAGACAATACATACAATACACACCACAACATAGACACACCATAGACACTAGCTTCTGATTGCTCTCATTGTGCTATTTTACATTTTGTTTGTCTATATACCGTGTTTTCTGCACCATGGCAGCGCACCGGACCATAGGGCGCACCCAGTTTTAGGGGAGAGTCAAGGGGAAAAATGTTTCCCCCCCAGCCCCAAGAGGCAGCGTACAGGCTGCACACAACCTCTCCCTGCCAGAGGGGTTGTGCGCAGCTATGGAAGAAGGCAAGGCAGCAAGCGGGATGGATCCCGCTCGCTGTTTGCCTTCCTTTAGCCTCGTGCAGCCTCTCTTGCCGGGAGAGGCTGCGTGGGTCTAAAGAAGCCATAGCCCCGTGCAGCCTCTCCTTGCCGGAGGGGTTGCGCGCAGCTATGGAAGAAGGCAAGGCAGCGAGCGGGATGGATCCCCCTCTCTGTTTTGCCTTCCCCTTAGCCCGTGCAGCCTCTCCTTGCCGGGAGAGGCTGCGTGGGGCTAAAAGCCATAGCCCGTGCAGCCTCTCCTTGCGGAGGGGTTGCGCGCAGCTATGGAAGAGGCAAGGCAGCGGCGGGATGGATCCCGCTCGCTGTTTTGCCTTCCCCTTTAGCCCGTGCAGCCTCTCCTTGCCGGGAGAGGCTGCGTGGGAGCTAAAAGCCATAGCCCCGTGCAGCCTCTCCTTGCGGAGGGTTGCGCGCAGCTATGGAAGAAGGCAAGGCAGCGAGCGGGATGGATCCCGCTCGCTGTTTTGCCTTCCCCTTTAGCCCGTGCAGCCTCTCCTTGCCGGGAGGGCTGCGTGGGGCTAAAGCTCCATAGCCCGTGCAGCCTCTCCTTGCGGAGGGGTTGCGCGCAGCTATGGAAGAAGGCAAGGCAGCGAGCGGGATGGATCCCGCTCGCTGTTTGCCTTCCCCTTTAGCCCCATGCAGCCTCTCCTTGCCGGGAGAGGCTGCGTGGGAGCTAAAGCCATAGCCCCGTGCAGCCTCTCCTTGCGGAGGGTTGCGCGCAGCTATGGAAGAAGGCAAGGCAGCGAGCGGGATGGATCCCGCTCGCTGTTTGCCTTCCCCTTAGCCCCGATGCAGCCTCTCCTTGCCGGGAGAGGCTGCGTGGGGCTAAGAAGCCATAGCCCCGTGCAGCCTCTCCTTGCGGAGGGTTGCGCGCAGCTATGGAAGAAGGCAAGGCAGCGGCGGGATGGATCCCGCTCGCTGTTCTGCCTTCCCCTTTAGCCCCGTGCAGCCTCTCCTTGCCGGGAGAGGCTGCGTGGGGCTAAAAGCCATAGCCCCGTGCAGCCTCTCCTTGCGGAGGGTTGCGCGCAGCTATGGAAGAAGGCAAGGCAGCGAGCGGGATCCATCCCGCTCGCTGCTTGCTTCCCCTTTAGCCCGTGCAGCCTCTCCTTGCCGGGAGACGCTGCGCAGGGCTAAAAGCCATAGCCCCGTGCAGCCTCTCCCTGCCGGAGGGTTGCGCGCGGCTATGGCACAAGCCTACATTCGCTCTATAGGGCCTTTACACATTTCCTCTCAATTTTTGGAAGGAAAAACTGCGATCAATAGGCGAAAAATCTG